AGCCAGTACTGCAATAATTTAAGGTGAAGCCATTATGCAATGTATTGTATACGTACATGTAGAATAGAAATGACAAAACTGACAAACATTTAAAAGAAACCTGTCCAAAAAGAAGGTAATGAACTATAGCTAGTAGTAAGATAATAAGATATTATAAGATGGTAAAATAAAATGTGGTACTTGTGGAACTAAGTATAATGATCTAGGTCAGCATATGAGACCCAGACATGAGACTGGGGGGAGGGGGGCACAGATCAATGCAATAAAGGGACGGCGGGAACAAACGGGTCGATAACACAGTCAGGACAAATGCACCTGTCTGGGGCAGGTAAGTGTGTGATCACTCTCCACGCACTCCATAGATCTGCCTCCGCAGCAAAAAACTAAATCCCGGTCTACGTACATATGCATGATTTCCAGTGTTCTAAGCCAGCATCCGAATTTCTGTCATTTGATGGAATTTTGCTCCTCATGACAGACGAGAATTTTGGTCAATCTGTCATCTTTGTCAGACAAAAAGCTGGGTTCAAAGACATGGAAAGAGATGTCATCGAACTACGCTGTTTTTTTAGAGGGTCAAGATTTCAAAATAGTCTTGGGGGAGCATGCCCCAGCACCCCCTATAGCTAGGATTTAGTGCTTGATATGGTGTTATGTAAAACAAAATTGAGATGATGGAAAAAAATTAAAAGAATTTTCAGACAATACAGAGATCGAGAATTTACCCAGTTGTTTAGTTTATATCATGTTTATTACGTATATATCATGTTCCACCTGGATGTCGAACCTTCATCGATGTTGGTGGAGATTAACGTTGATTGTCAAAGGTAATCGGCCCGGTTTTCGGACCACCGTACGATCAATTCAGTCCGTATCACCAGCTCCATCGCAGACAGAAGATACCATGATGGTGGGGCCGTGTTATCAGCAATCTCAGCCACACATATACTCAATCAGGGCTGGAAATGGGGCTGTGTACCTAGTACCTGTACCTGTAGTATTGTTCAGGTACAGTTCTGGACCTGACCATCTCGACAGGTGTACCTGCAACTGAACCTGAACTAAATAAAATACTTTCTGGACCTGATCATCTCGACAGGTGTACCTGCAATTGAACCTGAACAAAATAAAATACTATCAAGTTTACACCATTTTGTTTTACTAATTGCATCTCAAGGATGATCCTTTTGACCACATTAGAAAATTGCGCTTGAAAATCAGGAAAACTTAACATTAAAATATTTAACAATTTACCGAAAAAGAGACAGTTTGCTGCACATTCATGTACATGCATATGTACTGTATATCTTACACTAGAGATAATTGGCAAACTTGTTTAGGGACACTAGTACTCACTGGTACCTTGGCTTTAGTTTGAATGTTGGCTGTTTTCATTCGCCCAACATGCACACTAGAGGAAAGGGTCCTTAGGACGGGATGTTACGCTGTGGTCCACTGTTCAACGTACTTGTTGACAAGAGCTATGGGAATTTCCCCAGTGCAATGAACCTGTAAATGCTGCATATTGTCTGTCGCGACCATCAAGATTAGGTCTTCAGCAAGCTAAACTGGTTCCAGATCACTTTCCCTTAAAAGACGCAAAACATAGGGGGATGAACCGAGAGTTCACCCACGCTACCACATAGTTTCCCTTTGGTCTGACTTGGCTTGCAGTACATGTACAAGTACAAGGCTGTAACATCACTTCAGAAACAAACTGCTAGATGTCTCTCTTGCTTTGTTAAACAATCCGCCTTTGCCTTCCATATGAAAGCCCTTCAAACTCAGCTTCCCAGAAAGTTTATAAATATTGTAAGAATATTTATATGTTCCCTATAAGGCTTAGGCCATATCTTTTAACTAGATACTCCCAGAGTCTGGATGAAAGAACATTTGAGCTATGTGTGCTCTTTGGTAAATCACGGAGTCAGACATCTTGTCTGAAAGAGGTCCTCTATGCCCTCAGACAGACTTATCTTTACCCAGACATCATAATATATCTGGGTTATTCACTGGAAGAGACTGCTACATGGTCGTAAATCCAGTTTTCTGCAATAACTGTTGTAAAACAACCAGATTTCAGCACAGATTTCTGGCTACCAGCATTTTTGGCCACTAGCTAGTAGCTGTCACTGGCTGGTTTTATCATAGATAGACCAGTAGTACAGGTAATAGGGAATACATAGGCAGTAGAAATACCTGTGCAGTTTCAATTTTACCTGTATGTGCAGACGGTATTTTGAGCACTGTTGATTTTATTATAGATCCGTGCAGGTTATAGTATAATTAGGTGCAGGTCAGCATCAGAAATACCTGCACAGCCCCATTTTACCTGCACTAACCTGCTTAATTAGCCTGGTGGTATTTTGGGCCCAGACACATTACCGCACAGGTCACTACTTTAGGTGTTATCTATATTTATCTATACTCCAAAATGACAAAAAATACCCCAAAAGGGCACTTAATTTATCCATTTGAGTACCTTTCACTCATTCAGACATGACCACGCAAGTAGAATTTGCTTCAAATATAACCCAAATGCCTATACACCGACGGTTTGCCACCAAATGTTATGCAGACACTGGGTAAGCCGTCTTAGCCAGATACCGCAGAACTATGCCGTGGGCATTAACATGTATCCCCCCGTAGACTGGCCGGCTAAAAGCGTTGGCTAGTCTTTCTGGGTCAGAGGATCCTTGGGGTTGGCATGGCCTGAAGCTAACTAGGCGCTGCCAACAATGTATGCAGAAAGTACTGTCCTGTGCCAACTGCATGTACGAATATATCAACAGGATTTTATCTATCTTGCAATCCAGCCATTCTTTAGGATGATTGACACCTGTCAGTGGACACAGCAGTACAATTCTTTCAGTGCAGACAGCACAGTAATGTCACCGAGTTACGTAATCAAGACTTAGTAGTTATACTTCTGACGTTGCAACATCACATGTGTGAAAACTAAAAATGTTTTCTTATACAATTCTTATATAATTCTAAACATGAACAATTTTAATAACATGTATTTTCAGCCGCAAGACTGCCAGGTTTTATGCAACATACATGTACCGTTCATTCATTTCAACCATTCATTGAAACTTTAAGAGAAGAAACATGACTTCACATACAGTAACATACAGTGTGTGCTGTCAGTGTGTGACTGTCATACCTTGATGAGAAATGTCCATGCGGGCAGCAGGTGCCTAAGGTTTGGGTGGTCTGGTCTAGCGTCATGTTGACAGGACATGTCATAAAGCACACAGGATATGGAGCTGGACATGTGGGACCCCCAGACAAGGGAAGGGGGACAGGTAGCTGATATCCCTGCCTTTTGTTCCACTTCCTATCGCGGGCCGTCTGGAGATAAAAACTGCTCCAGTCACGCAAACCTCGGCAGCCAATCACGTGGGATCCTCTCTCTCTCTGCCGCCGCGACAGACACTCGCTCGGGGCGGTTCCACCAGACAGAGAGAAAATTGCAGCCCCCCGAGTTGTCTGGGGCGTTACGAACAAGCAGGCACTGCCTCCCCAACCGCAATTTACCAGGTCAATTGTGAGGAATAATGAGCAGTGGAGGGGGCTACTAATTACTCTGATATATAGACTGGTGTGCGGCTAATCAGCAGTCAAGATGTTTGGTGAATGGCGTTCTAGGCTGTTCTGCGGTTAATGCGGTTGGGTCTAAAGTATGCCGGTACTTTCAAACTGTCTAAAAATCTATCCCCACGTCTTTTGGAACAGAAAAGAAGCATTTATCACAGCTGAACAGTCAAACTAATAGGCCAGGTCAGTTCTTTTGATGTGTCCTTAAAAGAAGGACTTTCATTGTTATATGCGTTTTTGTGACACCATGTGTGTATGTGTATGTCTATGGATTTAAGAGGACTATATGGTTATGAATTTGTTAGGACTTCATTCATGTGACCTAAAATATCTTTGTTTATATTGTCTGACCCTGACCTCTTTCCGTATGACCTCAATTTACAACTTATATTTTTCATGAATAAACAAAGGTTCAGGCAAGCAAAACAACAAACGTCAACAGTATTAAATTGTAATTAAAGATATGTATGACCTAAAAGTTATGCAAGAAAGTCTTTTATTCAGCCGACGTTTCAGTGACTGTCTGTCACTTTCCTCTGGGAAATTCTGACTGCATTAATGCCCGTAATCTTTCTACAAGTCTGGTTTTACATAGCATTTGGTTGATAACTGCAAATGCTACAGTGTTGAGAATAGACTGATCCCCTTGCCTGCTCAGTGCGGAGTCACGAAGGTTCTGCAGCACCCTAATAGGTCCAAAGTCCTTCACAACTGGACAATACCTCCATTCTGTACCCTCAGACCCAAGTAAGAGGTTTGGTCCATTATCTACCTGTTCCATCCTGAAACGTACTTGACATAGGGACACCTGAAGTGGGGGCATCTAAGGATAAAGTTAGTACAAAGCTGCGTACCTAGAAATGTTACATATGCATCAGGTAGTCACTTGAATGATGAGCATCCTAAATATAGGTATCCTCATACGAACCCCATAAAATTAATGTTGCAACACACCATGGGGAACTACTAGAGCTACGCAGACTAGTAATATCCAGCACTGACAAACACTTTGTATCTGTAATGGTATAGCCAGTATAACTGCCCTTCAGTGTAACGCACCAATCACAATGTGTATTTGTATGTGTATAGCTCTTCGGCATAACTCACCACTGTTATCTGAATCTTTAGAGCCAGTATGACCGCCCTATGTCGTAACACCAGCTTTGGTATCTGTAAAAAGACAGTATAACTGCCTTTCAGCGTAGCACACCGGCTTTGCAGGTATGCGGCACAGCAGCAGCTGGTTGTATTATTACACTGAACAACCCATCACACCTTACCTTTGAACATCTAGCTGCAAGTTATTTAAACTTAATTAAAGACATCTAGTGAAAATGCACCTACTAACTATATAATTTTAATACACACATAATAATATCATACACTTGAAATGCACCTACCTTCAAATGTGTCCTTTTCCCCTTCCACTTGTGTACTATCTTGAAAGGAGTAACTTGCTTGAAAACTACTATCAGCGGAGGAGTCCCACAGAAAGTCCAGGATAATCTGGTGCTCCGTAGAGTGTATATTCAAAGGAATGCTGTCTTCTTCGAGTCCATTGCATATGCTGTATACAAGGCGCACATCACCAAGCAAGCCCTCTTCTCGGACTTCTAGTTTGGGCAGGCACTGAGCGAGGGGGTTTGTAATATTTACAGGGGGGAAGCCTTTCAGTCTGGTTATACTCAACTTGATGGACCGATTCTGGGGGGCCACGATCTGCACCGAACACTTGCTGTACCCTCTTCGGCTGAAGTCCGCCGCTCGGATCGAAAAGTCACCTAGAGCTTCCGTATACCTCCCGCAATCTGGAACAGAAGAAAACACGCAGCCGGTGAGCGCAAGGGACTGTTTAATTTGATTACCGTAACTCACTAATATGTTCACGTCGGTAGCAAAAGTTCACGGTCTGAAAAAAACGGAGGTGTTAACAAAACTATATGTTCATGGTGTAGGCAGGTGTAGAAAAAAGAAAAGCACTGAATTATTATTTACGGTACTAATACATTTGCAGTACAAAAGTGACCGCAAAGTACCGTGAAAAAGTCAGGAATTATAGTATACAAGACAGGGTGTAAGCAGGCAACTTTCGCACACTTGGACAAGGTTCGTTAAAGACAAAAGCTGTCCAATTGTTTGTGAGTTACATATAGTATAGGCTCCTGGGCTTTTTCCAACTGACATATTCCAGGTAGCTGTTCTTAATGCAGAGGATTCATCTTCCCAGACAGCCTACATGTAATAACAAGACGGTCAAGTACGTTCCTCACGTGATGCCTCTTAACAACCACAGTCGACCGGCCGAACCCACGCACTCCCTCTTCCGACGAAACAAACCAAAGCTTTCAAACAGGCTGGAAACTTAAGTAATTCTTGTCGTGCTTTCTATCAGTGCCGGCGCGCTTATCTCCTCAGACTTGGGAATGGAAGGACAATGCTGGGTGTGAGAGGAATCGCTAAGTCACGGGCCCAGGAAAGAAAATGTTGTGTTTCCTGTTTCTCGACCGATCGTAGCAAAAACCTGCAGACCCTAGACTTTTTTCTATTGACCAGTGGTAAGGCTACCAGATTTTCGATCTGAATTTTAAACCCTCTGAATTCTGAAACACCACTTAACATATTTTCAGAAGTAATTTTTTCTTCTGATGAAATATGTATCCACAAGCAAACAGGTGGGTGGGTCCTTGAGACAGTCACACCCTTTTAGCCGAAATCTGATTATAAAAAAAGATTTTAAAAAAGGGAAAATCCTTTCCTACGGACCCTACTGAAACAGGAAATTAATTTTCCTTGGCCTGAGACCAACTACACGTAGGTTTCCCCGTCTACGTACGTGCTGGGCATGTCTAGCTCTCTGTTGTGTCTGATCTCCAGGTTTACACCAAATGCAGAGTGCTGATTGGGCAAAGATATGATTGTGTTATCTCCAGGAGACTAGACTGGCTGAGGCGAACTAGCTTCCAACGTGGATTCCTAAGGGTGTATGGATATCAGTATTATACTGATCCTTTAGTTTAGGTACAGATTTTTTATGGCGACCTTGAATGATGTTCGTACACGTCCTTGGCAGCTTTGAATTTTTTCCTGTCGTTTGAGTTTCAACACTTTCGCGACACGTTTCAGCACCATGCTTAATCCCGTGTTTATCTTTTGCCATATTCTTACATACCGACTTTCGTCTGTCAAGATGACGGAATGGGGGGAATTCTTGTCTGTCCCGAGTCACGAGCAGAGCCATTCCCTCAAATAATGGAATGACAGATGCTGGTGGCAGCATTGTGGAATTTGTGGTTGTATTACGGTATTTTCTGCACATTTTTGGCTTTCCTACTATGGTTTAATGGGAAAATTTAAAGCTTTGTGTATTAGTGCTGAAGGCACTTTGTATTGGTAATCTGGAAGGGGGGGGGGTCTGGTGGCATGCTCCTCCAGGAGAGGGATAACTTCATAACTCTTTGATTTTTTGAAACACTATTTCATTCAAAATTTTGAGTAGCAACTTTCAAGTGGTGGCTTTGTCTTAATTTCATTGAGGAAATGTGTGTGGCACTGTTGACGTGACAAAAATGGAGCCAAGTTTTGATTTTTGTCAGTAAAGCAGACAGAATTTTTGTTGGGAGAGACCCCAGTTAGAACCATTGCAAAGTCGCTGTCAAAAATTACTTTCTGAAGATACTTAAGAGGGCTCAATCATAGGCAACAATTAACATGCCCAAGGGATCATTTCAGTAAATAACACGTCGATGTTAAAATCAATACGAAATGAAAAACGTTGGCTTTCATCTGACAGCCCAAAAAGGTTAGCAGAAGTTCAAGAGGGATTTAATTTATTGCACTTTTTCTTCAGTGTTATTCTTCGTTCCCGCCGGGTACCAAAGACGTTGACAACATGGCGATACAACAAGTCTGTCACCGTGGCAACTGAAAGTCCTGAAGTGTGAAACAATGCCAAGTTCACGTTATGGTCATGAGGAACGTGATGATTCATGACTCGTGTGAAAAAAAACAAGTTTGTGTTCGGGATACTCAAAATACTCAGTTGCCAAGCCGTGTCACGCAACCGTTTTTTAATCGCCGCAAGATCCGTTCGATTGGCGACAGTTGGTATTTCGAAAGGAACGTGCGTGTTGCAGGTGCTCGAAATGTCTGCTTGCCAATTGCAAGTCCTGTCAGGCAAACATTTCTACTTCACCACAAAATATTTTCATACCTAAGCTGCCTGCTGCTCAACCTGAAGTTTAAGAAATTATCTTTCATAGGCACTTAAAATCCATGTGCACATTTTCCCCTTAAACCATCAATCCTTACAAAACTCACTTACTCACAAGAGAGTTGTGTTAAAGATGCAACCTGCACAAAAATTTGTCTGGAACTTTTGCAGAATATTTTCCAAGTTTCCAAAAGAGTAGACAGCAATGTGCACCTACAGTGCCACCTAGTAGAACAAGGGGGTACTGCAATCCCAATGCAAAGAAGAACTCCTTCACTACTCAAAGCAATAATTTCTTCCTAGAGGTGTACAAATGTGATGTACACAGCTTTGTACACACTGAGAAACCCAGTCAAATTGGGCCACATGGGGAAACAAACTGTAACCGCGGACTATCCCTTTATCTTACAAGGGCAACACCAACATAAAAATCCATCACTTCGTCACTCACTCCTAGTTAAACTCTTCTTGGCATGCATAGTTACCGTTGATAACCAAGTTTGCGAGCGTAGGCATAACCTTTACATGAAAGAGGCCAGGGGAAGCGGCTGACACAGCATCGGGCACCGGCTTAGCCTTTAGGAAATTCAATTACGACTCCAGACAGAACACAGGTGCGACTAGCCTCCGTGAGACACTGTATGCCCACAGGTATTCATTCCACAAGCTTTTGAAGTCCGGACACAATGAATATTTAAAGCCGATCCGTGTTTCGCAATAAAGTTGGGTCACCTGGCTCTACAGTTCGGGATGTCATCGATTCCGCTAAATGAAGCTCCAGACAATACCGCTGGCGTCAAACTAGCCGAAAAGCCAGCTAGGTTAGGTTTACTTTCTACTGACTTGCACAACCACTACCATGGCATTATATCAAAGGGAAAGATGGCACACACACTCAGTTAACAATAAGATTATTCATGGCCCTTGTAAATTTGATTTTGTTGTGTTTTTCTCAAAAATGAAATGCAGTAAAGTAGAATTTGGACCGTTTTCTAATTTATTCAGCCGTAAATTCAGAACAACGAATAACTAGGTGTCAGGTAGTGCATGTAGATACTGTAGGTACAATGCAAAAAGATATCCAACCAGCTGTTAATTAAGTGTTCTATAACTAAACTATAACTTGTAGCCACGAACATGTGGGAACACTATGGAAGGACATAGAAACACAGAAAAGGCCACAAAAGACCCAGAACAATACATCTGCTTGTACTATAGATTATACTAATTTATAGGTAATATAATTGTTGTGATAATCTAATAATTTTGTCAACTGTTGTCTTCATGACAAAATTATCGAGTTAAAATATATAGGGGGGGAAGAGTTTAAATTTGATCTATACAAGCCAGCAATTAAAAATCCACACACATGTACACCTACACATGTATATTTATGGCCAGTACAAAATGTTCATAGACCAGTGTAAGTTATATATAGGTGTAGGTAGACATGCCTGCACAGGTCAAATACCTGCAGAGCTCCAATTTTACCTGCACTAACCTGCATATGCCCAGTACATGGACCAGTGCAGGTTAGGTGCAGGTTACCTGTGCAGGTATTTCTGATGTCTACATATAAATGTACAATATGTCTACAAATAAATGTACAGATCGAAATACCACCTGGAACTGTGCAGGTATTTCTGATGTCTACATATACAATTGTACATTTATATGTAGACATCAGAAATACCTGCACAGCTCCAATTTACCTGCATGCACAGGTGGTATTTCGATCCCTGCCTTTCGTAATGTTTAAACGGATGTACAGTTGTGATTGGAGTATAGCGTGCAACAAAAGCAGGACATCTGAAAAACTCGACAATAAACAACCATATCTCCCCCAACATCTGCCGGGAGGTTTGACATAATGTCCAACACAAACGGTGACCTTCAGCGTGAGTGAGTGCCGGTGTATGTGTCTTTCTAGGTAACCGCACAAAAAGGACAGGGAATATGGCATGCTCACAGTTCCCTGCACACACAGCCCGCCCGTGTCTTGGCAGAAAACCAACTCTGTGGCGCAGAAGTGAAGAAGGCTAGTTTGGGCCAGTTTTGGGCAGAGGTACAAGAGGAACTGGGAACCCTTTCTACATGTACTGGAGTGACTGTTGTGTGATTGTTGAGCAAGCATTGAGCAAATTGCAACCAAATTGGATCCGTGTGATTCTCGATTTTATAACTGGGAAGAAGACTAAAAGTCAACAAAACAAAACAGAACATTACAAAAGTTCATTCTTTGTCTTAAAAAAGTAATTGAGCCATCTGTAATTTATTAAATTAGAAAATGTTCTAGAATCTTTCATAATTTATCGTAACCTGGTTCTGAATGCAAACTTACAACAAACTTGATATTTGCTGACTGGTGAGTTCAGACAGTACCTGAGCTCCATTCCTAATGCATTCATGGTGGTCCAAAAACAAACGTTGGCAGCAGTCATAACACGTCAAGACGTCCTATTAATAATTATCCCAGAATTTACGTATGGATATCAGTATTCAGATGTCAGACTTCTGTTTAGTACCCTGTCACACATTCAGAACCTTCCACCGACCACCAACCTACCAACCAAGGTTGGCTGAAGTTTGGGAGCAGTC